AGGTCTTGTACATAACATAGCATACATAATTGATCCAATTGCTGAAGCATATGGAACATTGTGCATCTTATCAGTCTCAACTTGTGTCTTTGGACACATGTTTTTAGAAAAGCTTATACCATGAGTCATAGGTAAATTACCCCTCTTAAACTGATCCATGCTAAACCTTTTTAGCACTTTCTCTATGTATGTAGATTGTGAAAGACCCAGTAGCCTTTTAGATCTATCCCTATAGATCTTAATGCCTAATATATAGGCCGCTTCTCCTAAATCTTTCATGGAAAAGTTCTTCGACAACCAACCCTTTACCGATTGTAACATCGATATATTGTTTCCCATTATTAAAATGTCATCTACATATAAAATAAGGAAAACAATCAAACTCCCACTAACTTTCTTATACACACAAGGTTCAACGGATTCTTGAGAAATCCAAACTCTTTGATCGTCTCATCGAATCGGATGTTCCAACTCCTAGATGCTTGCTTAAGTCCATAAATAGACTTTTGTAACTTACATATTTGACTAGGATTTGTAGATGTAAAGCCTTCAGGTTGTGTCATATACACATCCTCATGCAATGTCCCGTTAAGGAACGCGGTCTTTACATCCATCTGCCAAATCTCATAGTCATGATATGCTGCTATGGCAAGCAATATCCGAATGGATTTAAGCATAGCTACTGGTGAGAAAGTTTCATCGTAATCGATTCCCTCTTTCTACTTGTAGCCTTTGGCTACCAGTCTAGCTTTATAGGTAACCACATTACCATCCATGTCAGTCTTCTTCTTGAAGATCCATTTACACCCTACAGGTTTTATCCCTTCAGGTGGATCAACTAAGGTCCACACCTTATTGTCATACATGGAATTTATTTCAGAATTCATGGCTTCTAACCATTTAGAGGAGTCTGGATTACTTATTGCCTCTTTGTAGGTAGTAGGTTCGTCATCTTGAATGACTAGAACATCATTGCTATGGCTCACAAGAAATTGGTATCTCTTGGGAGTTGAGCGTGTTCTTACTGACCTACGAAGCCCTTGTGTATTAACAGCTTCAGTATCTACCCCATCATTATGTGGTTGAAGCTGTTCTTCATGAGATCGTTCAATGTTTGTTGGATGATCCTGAATTTCTTCAAGATCTATTCTACTCCCACTGCTTCTTTCTAGAATGTATTCTTTCTCTAGAAAAATAGCATGTTTTGAGACAAACACTTTTTTCTTCAATTGGATTGTAGAAATAGTATCCTATAGACTCTCTTGGATACCCTACAAACAAACATTTGTCAGATCTAGGTTCAAGCTTGTCTGACTCTGCCCTCTTCACATAAGCTGGGCAGCCCCAAACCTTCATATAAGACAGATTTGGTTTCTTTCCTTTCCATATCTCATATGGTGTGGAGTCGACAACTTTAGTGGGTACTCTATTAAGAGTGTAAGAGGCTGCATCTAATGCAAATCCCCAAAACGATTTTGGGGCACTTGAGTGGCTCATCATAGAACGAACCATATCCAATAAGGTTCGGTTTCTCCTTTCAGATACACCATTTAACTGTGGTGTACCTGGAGGAGTCCATTGTGGAACTATTCCATTATCCTTTAAATAAACTCCAAACTCGTCATTTAAGTATTCTCCACCACTATCAGATCGTAGTATCTTAATACTTTTATTGGTTTGTTTTTCTACTTCATTCTTGAATTCCTTAAACTTTTCAAAGGATTCAGATTTGTATTTCATTAAATACACGTAACCATATCTCGAATGGTCATCTGTGAAGGTGATGAAGTATGAAAAATCTCCTCTAGCAGTGATCGACATTGGGCCGCACACATCAGTATGTACTAGCCCAAGTAAATCACTGGCTCGTTCCCCTTTTCCCGTGAAGGGCAATTTGGTCATTTTGCCAAGTAAACAAGCTTCGCACGTATCATATGATTCATAATCAAATGAATCCAAGTATCCATGTTGGTATAACTTGGAGATGCGTTTTTCATTTACATGACCAAGCCTACAGTGCCAGAGGTAGGTTTTATTTAGTTTATCTGTTCTCATTCTTTTTTCACTCACATTGAGAATTTGATGATCAAGATCTAGAATATATAAACCGTTATTCCAACTTCCAGAACCATAAAACACACCATTTTTAGAAAAAGAACAACATTTATTCTCCTGGGTTATCCGAAACCCATTTAAATCCAAACAGGAAATGGAAATGATGTTTGTAGTAAGTGCTGGAACACAGTAACAATTTAATAATTCTAAAATCAATCCACTGGATAAAGTGATATAATAAGTCCCTACAGCTAAAGCAACAACTTTTGCTCCATTGCCCACACGTAAGGTGACTTCTCCTTTTCCCAGCTTTCTACTGTCCCTTAGACCCTGCATAGATGTGCAAATATGAGAACCACATCCGGTATCTAATACCCAAGAGTCTGATTTGGAAGTAGACACATTAATCTCAATCATATATGTACCTGATGATGAAGCTTCAGCAAGCTTCTTTTGCTTCAGGCTCTCCAAGTATGACTTGCAGTTCCTTTTCCAATGTCCAGTTTGATTACAATGGTAGCAGGTTGCTTTGGACTGGTCCGCCTTTGCCTTTTTGGGCTTTTGGGTGGGCTTGTTTTTGGATTTCTTAAATCAATTTTCTTGTCTCTTCCTCTTCTTAGAGGAAGTAACGACAAGCACACCAGTAGAGCCTTTTCCCTTTTTGATTTCATTCTCAGCAGTTTTCAGCACATTCAACAATTGAGGCAAAGTGTGCTGTAGATTATTCATCTGATAGTTCATAACAAACTGTGAGAAAGAATCTGGCAGAGATTGGAGCACTAAATCAACATTCAGCTCCTGATCCATCTTAAAGCCTAATTCGACCAGTTTTTCAATTAGCCCAATTATTTTTAAGACATGCGGAGCAACAGGTGCTCCCTCTGCCATCTTGCACCTGAACAATTCTTTAGAGGTGTCATATCTAACCATCCTTGATTGTTGTTCAAACAACTCTCTCAGGTGTTGTACAATATCATACGCCCCCATGTTCATGTGCTGCTGCTGAAGCTGAGGAGTCATGGAAGCTATCATGATACATGAAGCTTCCCTATTGTCATCCTTATGTTTCTTATAAGCATTTCTAGCAGCAGCAGGTGCAGTAGGTTCAGGCTCTTGAGGCATTGGACCATCAAGTACATACTCAATTTTCTCATGAGTGAGAACGATAAGGACATTACGATGCCAATCAAGAAAGTTCGTGTCGTTGAGTTTGCAGTCAGTAAGAATAGTACGAAGGCTCAAATTGTTACTCATTCTACAACAAAATGAAAGATAGAATTTGTTAGAAAAATGTTTTGTTTAATAAAATCATAAAAACTTCATAAATTATGATTTTATTTCCACTATTGTTTTTCAAATCAATTACCCTCTAAAATTGAATCGGGAATTTCTAAAATTCCATAGTGGCTAGGATCCTATCTTAATTTATTTCGACCATGAGTGTGTCCCAACAAATCGAAAATAATTATGAAAGGTAGGTACTTTTACCAATTACAACTTATTGTAATTCCTAGATCAGTTGGGTATCAACTCTTGACTTTAAATCTCTATGGATCAACCCAACACTTGCCTCTAAAATTAATGATTTTGAGTGAATCCCAACAAATCATTATTTTAGCTAAATCAAACACATCATTCTTGAGAACATTTCTCATAGCAAAAACACGTAGTAAGTAAGGCAGCCTTGGGTGAATCCCAACAAGCTAGCACTTAATAACTACTCTTGTTTTATACTATAATGATGGAAGGCATTTTATTGATTTAATATCATAGTTGAGGGATTTGTCTCTTTTCCAAAAATATTTTATAATTAAAAATTTTTGAAAAAATTACTCATTTGGTCTCATCAATAAACATGCATATAACCATATCAAACTTATAAACATGAATTTAAATCGTGGATGGTTGTGGATATTCCTAGACTAATTTCCCCGGCCATTAGGAAAATTAGCATGAGACTAAAATCTTTAATACCGAGACGAACCCCTTCGTTGTAGTATGCCTCCTTTCTTCTTTTCAAAGTTACAATTTCTATATAAATAATATAAATTCCTATCATTTATTCCTATCTATTGTACATTACAAATAGTATAGAAGAAACCCCGAGTTACATTCGGGGGGAATTCAGATGAGAAAAGAAATTACAATTAGAAAATAAGAAAGGCAGGACACGCAGGCCCTATTTTAAAATTAATTACAACCATTCAAACCTAGAATGATTGTAACCTTCCAAAATACCACAATCATATTGCGTGCTATATCCACAACCATCCACCATGCATTTTCACAATTTAAACAACTTTAAATAAAAGAAAAGCATGTAAAATAAGCAATCTCAATTCATGAATTAATTGAATTTAATTCCTAAGGTCCCAAACAAAATTTTGGGTCCATGCATATGCGAGAATAATTGGTAAAATTAAATTTTATTAGGTCAACTTTATCCTCAACTAATTTGAGGAAAGAATGGGAAAATAATTCAAATTAATCAAATTAGTTCTAAATTAATTCCCAACCTAATACTATATGAAATAAATGATTCCATAACACATTTTAACAATTAAAATGGGATTTAATTCAGAAGATTGCCAAAAGTTCAAAACTTCAAGTTTTAGGAGAAAAAAAAAATTTCTAAACCATTCTTGCAATTGTTTTCTATCATCACCGGCAACTACCACTGGACACCACCACTTCAGTCACCACCGCTGAGGTCTCCACTGACCATCAACGGCAGCAACACCTAGCGGCAGCCACCAGGGAGTTCACTGGAAACAACCAGTCGGCTGCAACATCAAGCTGCAAAGTTTTCCCGTGCCTGATTGCTGCTGCTTCTCGTTGTCGCACCTGCTTGCTAGATAGCGGAGCTACCACCGCAACAGCCACCACCACTGGAGTCTCCACTGACCACCAGTGGCAGCGGCTCCTGGTAGCAGCCACCGCGGGTCATGGGCAGCAACCGTGAGGAGGCTGCTGCTCCCTTGCTGATGTCTGCAGCAAAATTTGCTGCGTTTTTGTCCCAGAGAGCTCATAGCTCTTCTACCCAGCAACCACTACCAGGCGTACAACCTTCCACTGCCACCATGGCCTCACATGGCAGCAGCAGCTGGCGGCAGCCCTTGCAGCCGCTACATCGCAGCAACCGCAGGTTTGCAAACGCAAACTTACTATGTCGGTTTTTTTTTTTTTCTTTTGGTCCAATGATCATCCTGCAACTTTTGCAGATGATCAACTATGACCATGGGTGACCCAAATCCACGAAAGAAGGGGAAAAAGGAAAAAACCAGGTGCTTGTGAAAACCTGCGACTGCGGCCACGGCTTTCAAAAACTTTCAAAAACCAGGTTTTCAAAAGATTTCATGCAAACCTTTTTTTTTTTTTTTCTTGAAAAACGAAAGTTGCTTTTCCCATAATTCCGCATATTCAATTAGATCCAATAAGCAATATTAATCCATGAATCCAAAATTGCCTAAAATCATACGTAAAATTCTTAGGGATGGCTCTGATACCACTGTTGGGTTTTAGGGATACTACGCAGCGGAAAAATAAAAATTTTTCCCTAAAACCATCCAGGAATCACCCTAGATTTTACGTATGATGTACTAAAGGTAGGGTTTTAGGATTACCTTAATCCAAGCGGCGTCTCCCAGCAGCGTTGTTTGAGGATGGTCAGCCCTTAAGCAGTCCAATCGTCCTGCCTCTACTGATATCCACGCTAGAGCAACCCTGGATCGTCTCACGAACTATGTGTTGAAGAGAAAAAGTGCTAGCCTTTTGACTCCTTTCAAACGTATATTTTTCTCTCTCTCTCGTATGTGACGCTCACACTCTGTATCTGTATATCAGCTAACCCCCAAACACCATTGGAGAAAGAGAGAGATATATGATTAGCTAGAATGATGAGTCTTCTTGTTTGATTCAAAGTCAAAACAATAAGACTTCTCATCACACCCGACTCTATCTATCATTATCTGATAGATAAGAGATAACCATTTACTCTTATCTGCTCAAAAAGGCATGGGATTAATTTTCCTTTAAAATTAAACCCTGATTATTTACATAGTTTCAATCCAGGATTAAATCTCTATTGCGTGTGACCCAATAGGTCCCGAATGCATTGGTAATAATTATGGTTTAATAATTAGATAAAATAAACAACTTTATTTTATCATAACTTATAATAAATAATTAATCCATAATTATAAATCACGAGCGGTGTCTAGCAACACATCGCGATTACCCAATTATTCGGAATTAGTCAAGGAAATTTGACCTAACCTTTCCGTGAAAAATTACCGTGTAATTATTATCCTTTCACCAAAGATATCCAATTAGTCAAGAATAAGGAATAAGTGCCAATTCCCTGATGACTAATTAAATTTTCTAGTTCCCGAAATTTACCCTTAATTAGGTTAAATTGAAGACATTCTTCAATTTACCTAATAGTCGACTTTAGGGTTAATTTCTCACTAGTGGCCAACCGGATATCAACTCCTTCTATCAGAGTGGTAAATCCTATCTCAATCACCCATTTTCTTTACATGCTTCACACTACATCCAACTTCTACACTTTAAGGCACTCACGAAGAGTAACAAGTAATTAGAGTCAAAATGTAGCGATTCACACTCAAGATATTATGGTGATCTCAAGTCGTAGGATCACTTACACAATTTTTCACTAGAGATACACCATTGACACTAGATAGATATCCTAACGGGATCTCTAAACGGATCAATCCAATGCATTTGTACTTTCCAAATCATCTACACATTAGCCTAGGTATCATCATACCATAGCTGATGAGAACAACCACTAATTACATTAATTAGAGGCTAACTGTGTACTAGTTTTACCGTACTAAAGATGTCCTATTTCATTAGTACTATAACTAGGGAATTTTAAGAATATTACTATAAAAGCGATTGATATCTCATAGTCATCAACTCTTGTGACTACCATCACATTAGTAAACATTCTAAGGACTTTATCAGTTATATCTAATATTTAACAGATAAATAAGAAGTTATTAAAATACAAAACATATAATTTAGGAATGTATAAAATAAAACCAAATACATTGTTTTAGGGCATACATTCCAACAATAACTTGATTATAAATATGGATTTTTCGAGAGTAATGATAATGTTAAGTTTACGAATGAAACACCATACCTTTAATGGTACAATCCACCTTACTTGCACAAATGTTAAGGTAGAAAAGCCCACCTTCTCCATCTCTCCTTGCTGCATGATTTCCTCTTCCTTTCTCTCTCCCATGTTTCCTTTTTCGTTTTCTAGAGAAAGGACCAAACAGGGAGACTTAGTTCTAAGTTGTATTTATAGGTGTAGATGGAAAGATCTAGTTCTTGTTTCTATTGATGTGGGATCATGAGAGTATACTTGCAGCTTAAGATATCGAGAAGCTATTCTTTTTTCTTCCTCCCTTTTCTTCCTAGACTTTGGCCTTTTGTCCTTTTTTTTTGTCGCAGAATTGGCTATGGCCTGAGGTCGGTTGTTTTCCCCTTTTTTTTGCCAAATCATTAAACCTAAATAATTTAAATAAAATCTTGGGCCTAATAATTATAATGAAAGAAAGGCTAACAAAATTTTGGGTCATAATACAAACATATTCTTGATGATTATTTCCTTATGTCTATACTAAATACTTTAGCAGCTTTAGGCACAAAATATTCATTTTCATCAATTTTTGTAGGCATAAAAACTCAATTTTTCAAATAAACTCCATATACGAAAACCATATGATCACCCAATTTACATTTTAATACAATTCCTATCACACGATGGATCTTCTATTCCACTCTTTGTTTCACTTTTATTATATTGTTATTTCTTCTCCATAACTATCATATTTTAATTATTTTATTTTCTTAAGATCCAATAGCTATTAAATGAGTAGTACACAAAATTTAACAAAGTCAAAAAATTAAAATACACAAAAAATGAGATTTTTGATAAATTTTTTACTATACATTTTTATTTTCTATTATATATTGAGGTTTTGAGACCTTTGTATTTATGTTTTACTATGTTAATAGTTATTGCATCTTAAGGAAACAAAAAAGAATTAAATTATGATGTTTATGAAGGAGAAATATGAATATAATAAAAAGCGGGACAGAGAACGGAATAGAAAATAGGACAGAAGATCCCTTGCATTCCAATAGGATTAATAAGTAGTAATAAAGATTAGTGGTTTGTTTGAGAAACTTTGTTGTAGATCTTGCTCACGGTGACTAAACTTATAATGATTAAGAATATCTAATCTAGCACCGGTTCTCCCAAATAGGCCAACTTAGAGTAAGATGAATAATTTAATGCCTAAATGACTGATTTTTCTATTTCAAAACAATTTCAAAACCAAACTAAAATTAGCTTTCCTAGTATCAAATTAATATCAAAGTTATGTACATGAAAGCAATATCAAAATCAAAAGAAATAAAAGTATGAGGATAGATGCATCCACTACAAAAGTCTTCCCTTTATGATTTTGACATCAAATCACTTCCACTGGATTGAGTCTCATTTTCATAGTGGTGAAACTCCAACCATTAGTTTTGCCCCTTTTCGTGCATTAGGAAAAGGACTTAAATTATAATCAGGGTTAATTTCAATAAACCCTCTTAAAAATGCTTCTTTCTCATACTATTCCCTTGAATGCTTAATTGAATCAATCCACTCCTGTATTCCTATAATTTAATAATCATGTATAATTTAATTAGACAGCCTAACTTTGGGCTCAATTTGGCATGTGCAAAGCATATAGTTTTGTGAATTGGTATTATTGCCCCCAAGTTCTTAATTATGAAATTATTGAATTACTTTTTCTTGATGCAAAATTTTCCAAAACATTATAGAAATTCCTTGTATCACTAAAAATTCTAATTCTGTGCAGTTTTTGATTACTTATAATTTTATTTTATTTTACTACACATTATCTTATGGATACTATTTTCGGTATCTTTGTTATAGTTATAAAATAGTTGAAAAAAATGGCATTCGTAAGTACATTGTGTTGTATGTGATAATGAGGATAGCCTTACCCATTGTTTCCTTGGATGTTGGTTGGCTAGGCAGGTGTGGGAGAAGATAGAACAGACATTGGGATTACATATAGCGCTATCCGATGACATTATGCTCCAACTACAAAACTGGTGGTCGCATTGCTCGAGAGGGACACTACAAACTCAGCTGACTCAGATAATCCCATTATTCACTTATTGGGAGCTATGGAAAGCTAGGAATACAGCCATCTATGAGGGAGGTGTATTGGCGGCTAGCCAGTTTTATCACCGAGTGATTGAATTGCTCCATGGCATTTCCTTGGCTCATCCTTTTACCTCGGACTGCAGCAACGGAATGGAGCTTCATCGGATGGTTTGGTTACACATCTCCAAGCGTTCCAAGCCCACAAGATGCCTACCTATGGCTTGGTCACTACCCACAGAGCCATTCGTAAAACTGAATGTCGATGGTGCCTCACTAGGGAATCCAGGAAGCTCGGGTGGAGGTGGAATTGTTCGAAGCTCCAGTGGCCAAGTCATAGCTGCTTTTTCTTCACACTATGAGTACCAAACCAACATGAAAGTTGCAGCTAAGGCGCTATTCGAAGGTCTGAAGCTATGCTTAGCTTTGGGATGCATTCATGTGGAGGTTGAAATGGACTCTCTGGTCTTGTTAAACATTGTGAAAGGCTTGCATAGCTGGCCATGGAGAATTGATGCAAAGGTTATGAGGATTCGACATTTGCTAACATAGGCTGTTTGCACCCTAACACACTGCTACAAGGAGGTTAACACAGCAGCGGATGACTTTGCAATACTGGCTGCACAGTCACAGCAATCGAGTGCCTTTGACGCGTACTCACTTCCATCAAGAACTAAAGGGATTTCGCGGCTAGACTCAGAGCAATTCCCGTACCTTAGGCACGTTAGGAAGCAACTCCCACGTTGAGTCTTTGGGTTTTTTTAGCTCTCTTTTCTATTGTAATGTGGCTTTTGCGATTCAAGGGCAAAGCAAACACCCACTTCACTATTGGAAAGAACAATAACGAAGCTGTAAGGGAGTAAGTACTCCTTATTTATTTTCCTTCATAGGCTGCATGTCAGCTTTCTCCAAATGCTTTGTAACTCATATCCTTTTTGCTATCAATAAAATAAAAGGGGTAGCGTCCCTCCCCCGTATACGAGGTTTGCCAAAAAAAAAAAGTACATTGTGTTGTATATTTCATAAGTTCAAAAGTTATTACAATAAGTCTAATATTCCTAGTACATCTTGACTTATTTTATTAGTTCAAAAGTTGTTCAAAACTTTTTTTTGTGAAATTTTTATGGTATGGGGAAGGTGTGTTGGTTAGTTCACAAAACCATGTGCATTGTACACGCCAAATTCAGGTCAAAATGAGGGCTCTACCCAACCTAATTGTATCTCATTTACAAGTTTATAATAGCACAAGTGTTGAATTGATATAATTAGACATTCAAAAGAGGCCCAAACAACACTCTTCAATTATTGTGAGGGTTTATTGTCATAAAACCTTAAAATTATTCCCTACATTAGAGAAGAAATTCTACCAAGCAATCCTAGTTCAAGGATAAATATCAACTAGATTGGCTCACAACTTGTGTAGAATTGACTATAACTTATTTAGCTCTTATGACATCTTATGGAATTCATATGGATTTGCTTTTCAACCAAAATACTCTCTGCAAGGTCTGTCTAGTGTCTTCAGACACTATCGTTAAGGACAAACAATATTCAATTTTGTGCAAAATTAGAGTCTTCTATAAAATACAAATAACATTTTAGTTTGAGTTAGGTAAGGCTCGGGTTTGGAAGCAGTTTTGGAAGCAGAAGGCTCGGGTTAGGTGGCTTCAGGAGGGAGATCGAAATACAAGGTTCTTTCATTCTGTCGTCAAAAATAGAAGGGTACGTTCGATCATTCACAGGATTAGAAATGGGCAAGGGGAGTGGGTGGAGTCGGATGATGGGATTGGAGTAGAGGCGATACGGTATTTCGAGGGGTTGTTTACGGATCAGCGTCCAGCATCTTCTTCTGAGTTGCTTCAGCATATCCCAACAATTTTGACTGATGAGGAGAATGATTTGTTGGAGCAGTTTCCCTCTGCGGTGGAGATTCGAAATGCGGTTTTTGCGATGGATGGGGAGAGTGCACCGGGGCCGGATGGATATACGGGTAAGTTCTTTACGGTTGCTTGGTCAGTTGTCGGTGCGGATGTTGTTAGCGCAGTGTGTAGTTTTTTCTGTGGGGCGGAGTTGCCTCGGGCTATTACAGCGACCTCCATTGCACTCATTCCTAAGGTTGGGCACCCACAGGATTTTTCTCAGTTTCGCCCGATTAGCTTGTGTAACTTTGTTAACAAGTTGATTTCGCGAATTTTGGCGGATCGCTTGGCCCGAATCCTTCCAAGGATTATTTCCCCACAGCAGAGTGGTTTTGTTCGGGGGCGGCTTATATCGGATAATTTCTTGCTGGCTCAAGAGTTGCTCTCTAATATAGGGAGGACCTCCAGAAATGCCGATGTAGCTCTGAAATTAGATATGTCAAAGGCTTATGACCGTGTTTCCTGGTTTTTTTTGACAATGGTTTTGAGGAGATTTGGTTTTAGGGAGCAATGGATTGATAGGATTTGGAGATTGGTCTCGAATGTTTGGTTTTCGGTCCTAATCAACGGGGCCAGTGTGGGTTTCTTTAAGTCTACGCGAGGGCTTCGTCAAGGGGACCGTTATCCCCAGGTTTGTTTATTATTGGCGCTGAGGTGCTGTCCCGCTCTTTGAACCAATTAGTGGAGCATCGGGAGTTCAAGTGCTTTTCAGTTCCGCGGGGCTGTCCTATGATCACGCATCTCAGTTATGCAGATGACGTCCTGGTTTTTTCAGGTGCTTCATCCGCTTCGCTGAGATGTGTTATGCAGATTATTGGAAAATATGAAGCAGTTTCGGGGCAGGAGATTAATGTTCAAAAGAGTGGGTTCATGGTGCATGCTAAACTGCCTAGTCAGTGTGTGGCAAGGATTCGACGGGTAACTGGATTTGGTCTGAAGTCGTTTCCCGTGCGTTACTTGGGGTGTCCGCTTTTTGTGGGGCGCCGGAAGTGTCTATACTTCATGGAGCTGGTACAGTCAGTTATTTCTAAAGTTTCTTCATGGCGATCCAGATTTCTATCCAATGGGGGTCGGATTGTACTCATCAAACACGTGCTTTCAGCAATCCCAACTCATTTATTGGCAGCTTCATGTCCTCCAAAGGGAGTTCTAGCTTTAGTTGAACGGGCTATGGCAAATTTTCTCTGGGGGGAGCGGGAAGGTGGCCTCCGACATCATTGGATTAAGTGGGCAGACCTGTGTGCCGACTCGTCACAGGGCGGGGTTGGTGTTCGATCGCTTCTGGATGTTCATACAGCATTCTCATTCAAATTGTGGTGGCGTTTCCGTACGGGAGAGTGTTTATGGGCGACATTTATGAGAGCCAAGTATTGTCGGCAGAGTCATCCATGCATGGTAGCGGCGGGTCAGGGCAGTTCATATATGTGGAGGCGTTTGCTTCAGATTCGTGAGGTGGCGGAGCAAAATCTTTGGTGGGAGATGCGGTCGGGACAGTGTAATTTCTGGTTCGACAATTGGATGGGTTCTGGTCCTCTGTGTCAACGGTTACAAAGTGTTTCTGATCACTTAGTTAGGGATTTCGTATTGAATGGAAGGTGGAATCAACAGTTGCTACGGCTTTGGGTTCCTGATGACATAGTATCAGAGATAATTACTAAAGTTGCCCCAGTGGGATCCGCGGATGATCGTGCGGTGTGGGCCTTGACAGAGTCAGGAGATTTCTCCATTGCTTCCACATACGTGCTGCTTGGTAGTCAGACCCCCTCATCTTTCATGTTTGATAGGGTTTGGCACCCTGTAATTCCAATCAAGATATCATTCTTCATGGTAAGATTGCTGCGGGATCGTTTACCGTTGGCATCGTCCCTAGGAAGGTTGCAAGTCTATGGCCCTTCCAAGTGTTTTTGCTGCTTGGCCTCGCAATCTGAGTCGTTGGATCATGTCTTTGCGGAAGGTGAGTTAGCTCTTTTTCTGTGGACCTTTTTTGGGAATAGCGCTGGAGTGAGTTATAGAGGTATGGGGGTGCGGTCGCGTTTGGCGGCTTGGTGGTGCCAACCGGTTCGGTACTCTCGTCTGGAATCATTACATTCGGTTTTGCCTTGCATTATTTGTTGGCATATTTGGTTGGCACGGAATCTTGCAATTTTTGAAGGGCAGCTCCTGCGTCGACAGACCATTTGTGACCGTATCTTGGCAGATGTCGTAGGACTATTTTCCAAGAAGTTTGCAGGTGAGTTTTTTGGGGTTGGCTCCTGGTCGACGGTCCTCTCCATCTTCTCTGGGTGGAGGCCTCGGTATTCCCATAGAGTGGTTTGTTGGGAATTTCCAGTCCAGGGAGCCTTCAAGTTAAATACGGATGGGTGCTCGCTTGGCAACCCGGGCGTTGGTGGCGGGGGTGGTGTGCTTAGGGACTCGTCTGGTGCTTTGTTGTTTGGCTTTTCTGTTCCGTTTGGGGAACTTACATGTCTGCAAGCGGAGATAAAGGCTTTGGTGTTTGGGGTGCAACAATGCCGTCTTCGGGGTTTCTCGCGGATTCGGGTGGAGGTGGATTCTCTTGTGTTAGTCAACCTCCTGGTAAGACAATTCAGGTGTCCGTGGTCAGTTCGGTCGGATCTGGAATCGTTACGGGCTGTCCAAGGGTTGGAGTGGACGGTGGGGCATTGTTATCGGGAAATGAATCAAGTGGCGGATGCCTTAGCCAAGGTTGGGGCACATTCTGAGGGTATTATTTTGTATACGACACAGTCTGAGTTGCCAAGGGTGGCAAGGGGGGCCTTAGGTTTAGATAGGTCGCAGATTCCTGCGATTCGTACTCGAGCTATTTCTCACTGAAGCCTGTATATTTTGATTTTCTTGATTCTAATAAAATCGTAGTATAAAAAAAAAAAAAAGGTAAGGAAAGAGCCAATTTAAAAATGATTGATCAAAAACAAATGAGTAACAAATGTAGAGACAAAAGATGATTAAAAAAGGAATATGATGATCAACCAATGGCCAAATCATTCTAAAAAAGATGTAGACAAATTTAATCTAGATAGATTTGGCCACTAGAATTCTAGGAGCAGTTTTAGAGAATGAATCAACTAATATCTATTTCAAGAAAGGCTTTTTTTTAAAATTTTAGGGGACCTTTCATATTTTACGTAAAGTGCTATTCTATGAGTTTTTTTTTATAGTAGAGACAATCCGGAGGGGGGCATAGACCTTACCTCCCAGGAGCACAATGCAATACTTAAGTTACGTGAATAGAAAGGAGGGGTACAACTCCCAAACAAATAGTTGCCCTAGCATTTCTAAGGGAAGGAAGACCAATTCTGTCCAGCCTAAACGCCCCTCGGGCTTTAGTAGGGAGATTCGAAAACTGATGATAGGTTCTATCACCACCTTCGTCGCAACCAATATTAGATAAGCAATACGCCACTTGATTACCTTCTCGGAAGCAATGACAAATGCAGATGAAATGGGACGAAAGCTGAAGGAGGGCCCAAACTTCTGTATCAATACTCCACAGGCATCGAATTGCTTGCTTCAATATTTGGACTAGTACCAAAGAGTCCACTTCAACTTGCACTCTCACATATGTGAAATACACAAATTAATCCCAAAGAGAAGGGCCCTCGCCTCAGCTTGGATGCTAGTACTACTCCCAAAAAATATGGAGAAAGCGAGCATGAGCTTCCCCTCACCATCGCGCAAGAGTCCACCACCCCCTGCCCTCCCAAGGTTGCCTCTTGAACGGCCATCCGTGTTGAGTTTAAAACATCCCATAGTTGGCCTCAACCACTTCACCAACCTAAACGAGACCTGCTTACAAACAGAGACGAGAGAAGCATAAAATTCTAGCCATGTTGTAAGGACAACGGAGGACCCTGGGAACTGCAAATTGAAGAGATTCCTTAAATCGTCAAAAATAAATCACAAATAGCATCAGAAGCCTAGACTTTCCCTTCGAACCGCGCTTTGTTCCTAGCCTTCCAAATATTCCAGCAAATCAAAGAGGGGATAATCAGGTGAACAAATTGCAGAAATACATTCGTACATGAACTAAACCACCAACTAGCCATGTAAACCCGTACCCAAGCCCACAAGTTCAAAACCCCTGTAGCAGAACCAAAAAATTTCCATATCGCAACGACTACCTCACCCCCACAAAAAATATGGTCTAGAGTCTCAACATTTGCCTTGGTACAACAAAAACTTAGAGGGGCCAAATATACCAAATTTACATACCGTAGAGTCCAAAGGCAACCGATTTCTTAGTAATCGAAGCAGAAAGAAAGATATTTTCCACGGAATTCTGGGATGCCAAACCCTAGAGAAGATAAAAGACCGCGGTACTTGAGTGCGCACCACATCAAAAGCCGTGCGCAGCGTGAAGACTCCAGATTGTGAGGGTGCCCAGACCATTAAGTCATCCACACCCTCTTCAATCTTAGGGAGAGCGAACTGGCTAATCTCGTTTATTATGTCATCAGGCACCCACACCGCCAATAACTGAAAATTCCATCTGCCATATATTAAAAAATCAGAATCACTATGGAAGACCCAAATTTCTTAAAATTATTTTGTAAAATAGAAAACTATTACAAGTTTAACTCAAACAAAAAATTAGAATACAAAAGTTTAATATACTTATACTAAGAAGACAAAACGATAAATTGGTTAATAAGAGACAAAGCATGACCTGAAAGTCAATGTAATAAAAATATTTTTATGTAAATTTAAAACTTAATTAAAAAATACCATAATCAACTCCATTTAGTAGGCTTTTCTTGAGCATATTTCCTCTCTTATCACCTTGTCTTCTTAACAACGAACCACAAGAGTTTCATAGCTATCAAACTTCCATACTTCACCAAACTCAATAAATATGTTTGTCATGTCAAAATAAGAATTAGAACAACATAACCTTCACTCTATCAAATTATTGGAGCAAATAGAACAGTGATGATGATGGTCAAATTTGGCTAAGTTTTGGTTTTGGAATCTAAATCTAACACTAGTTTGAAGTCTTACCTATTTTAAAAATTGTCTAAATCTACTAAATCAAATAAGTTCAAAATTTAGCAAGTTCAAGATGTTCTAGGAATTTTGTACAAGCTAGAACCTATTGAATGTCATAGAACTAAATCTAAATAAAAAAGTTAGCTCGAACTTAATTGGACTAGAAATATTAAGTCCTCGTTCACGAACATAAGAGGCATCTGGAGAAATTGAAATATAAAGTATGAATTATTCTACAATTATAAAATAACATTAGTTTGATAATAAGCTACTTCAGCGTTAAATTGGTTGTTCAAATATTACTATTTAGTAATAATAATTACATAGTAATATTAAAAAAGGTGTGTTTGAAAAACAAACTTAAGAGATAGTGTATGAAAGTGTGCTTATGTGTGGGGTAGAAGGAATGGTGTGTGTATGTGAATCAAGAGATATATAGTGTTTGAAAGTGTATGAGACAAGAAAAATGTCTATCTGTATGTGTGTTAGAGAAATATTGTGTTTGAAAGTGTGTGCTTTTGAGAGAGAGAGAAAGAGAGAACATGTGTACACATGAAAGTACGTTTGAGAAAATGTGTGTATGTGTGTCTAACATAAATAAAAATTAAGTGAGTACCATTATACTGATACAAAATACAGTAGATTAAGTGATGGAATTTGCATTTAAATTTTCTATGTAAATTAATGGATGCTTAATGTATTCTAAAACAAGAGAATTGATTGGTGTAAAATTTCATGTGTTTTCATATTCATTTAAGTCCAATTGTATGTGCTTCAAGTGTTAAATCTTACATTTTAGAATAGTGAATTTTAAGCTTACACATGGTTTGAAATTACATTGCAAAATTATTGATAGAATTAGTGCTCAATAAATCGTTCTTGTAGGTTTTGGAGCATGTTTGGATGTGAATTCGAGTTGAGAAGTGTCATATAAGAATGTGCACGAAAATCAAGAAAGAAAAGTGCGAAAAACTATTTAAGGAATTTACGATCGGCTCTAGGTCCAAAATAAGACCATCAAAACTAGTCATGGAAAACTGCAATGCTTAGAAATGTAGTTCAAAGTTCCAACTAGCTGCACCAAGCAGTTCAAAGGTAGATTAGAACCATTCAAACTGTCTCTAAGGACCGATTAGAGTGGCAGCTCCAGTTTTGTTCAAGATGTCTATGGTTTCAAAACCTATTTTATTCCAGTTTTGATCCAATTCTTTCAGTCTAGAGGGGATAAAATTTCATATTTAGCTTTTGCGGATGATGTTGTTATATTCACTCCGCTGTCAAAGGGAAATTTAGAGGCCATGAAGGGTTTTTTTTAGCAGTATCAAAGGTTTTCTGGCCAGAAAATTAATGCAGCAAAGAGTGGATATGTGTGCTCTTCAAGCGCAATGGATGAGCAGGTTGGGTTGGTTTCAAGTATATTTGGCTTTCAATGTCAATATTTTCCACTGACATATCTTGGGGTACCGATTACTAAAGGTCGAACTCCCTCAATTCTTTTTGATAGCATAATTGCAAAGGTTTGGGCAAGGGTATTACACTGGAGTTCGAAGCTATTGTCGATGGGGGGTAAACTTGTTCTCCTGCGGCAAGTGTTGAACTCAATGCCAATGTATCTATTACAGGCCCTCAAACCGCCAAAGGCTGTTTTAGTGGCTTTAGGGAGAATTTTTAATGCTTTCCTTTGGGACAAGGTGCAGGATGGTAATCGGATACATTGGGCAGCATGGGAGAGAGTTTGCTTTCCTACTACTGAGGGTGGTTTGGGGGTCAGATCATTGGGGGTATGAGTAAAGCCTTTGCTTGCAAGCGTTGGTGGAGATTGAGGCAACGAGATTCTTGTTGGGCGAATTTCATGTTCTCCAAGTATGTAGGAATGCAACATCCATTGGTAGCGACAACTTGCAGACCAAAGGGCACATGGAAGAGGTTGCTGGAGGTTCGGGAAGAGGTAGAGGTGATGTGAGACGGATCTAGACGAACACCAAGTTGGGATGATTGGCGGAACTTTGACCCTTCTAGAATCACGAGCCACGAACTAAGGAGATTCCTTAACCCACGACTAGCAAATTTAGTGAACCAAAAGTATGGATAGACGAACGCCACAATCAAGGAGACTACTTGATTGATAAGTTCAATGAACAGCTTGAGATTAATTCTCAAGTATTCAAAGGAAATTCTCTTGAGGCAAGAGAGAGTGAAATAACTCACATATATTTTATAAAATCTGAATTCCCTTTAATGAATGAAAACCTAGGCTATATATAGCCTTACAGGACTCAAACCCTAGCATGTCCAATGGACGACCTTGCCCTTCATTAAGGGCGAAAATGTCTAACAACTAATTGACTAAAATTAAGACTCCAAATTCGGCCAAAGTGAAGTGAAAATTGACCGAAATTATTAATGCTAACAAACAACTAATAATGGAAACTAAAACCCTAATTAGCAAGCTAGTACTCCGCGAACTAGTCTTTACTTGAATCTTCCAATTCCCCATGTGCTTGAATGGAATGGGCCTTGGTCTCTATATTCTCATCATTCCCCTCCTCTTAAAGGCGATTTGTCCCCAAATCATGACTCTTCTTACAAAACAAAGGTGATGAGAGCATGTGTATAGTCACCAAGCAGCCTGCATGTCGCCTTCTCAAGCGAAGAAAGATCAGGACACCCTTGTGGGACACCAGGAAAACGTGTGGTGGTGGTAGATACATGTTGCGGACAGCAAGAGTTCCATGATAATAGCCACACAAGTGATCCAACTTGCTTGAAGAAGGGTCGGTCAACACTAATTTCTTAGCTTTGGCGTTGTCCTTCTTGGTGGTAGCATG